CTGAAGTTTTCGAGAAGGTTCCGGACTGTAGTAGATCATTTCGATAAGATCACGCCCACTGTGCGAACGGTACAGATTGTTCTGGAACCTACGCCACCGCCAGCGATAACGCTAGAACATACGACGGCAAGGGTATAAATGCCGACGCGCTTCGCCGCTTGTCAGTTGTTGATCGAAGGCCGACGCTCCGTTCGCCGCTATCAGTCCGAGATTGCTATCTGTGCGAGACTGCTGCTGTAATTGGACTTTCCATTTACCGGGTACAGGTTCGCCCAAATAAACAGTTAAATCCCAACACGAAGTCTCCTGTCTTCGGCCACGTCACGACCCCGTGACATCTGGTGGAGGCGCTGGGTACACAGCTTTGTGCACGCGGTTGAAACTCATTCAGTCGGCGTCGGAGTGTTTTTTGCCGGACTTGTAAATGACAGTAATGTCATATTCTTGAAGTCTCAGGCTCCATCGTGCGAGGCGACCTGAAGGGTCCTTCAAGGTGGCTAGCCAACACAAGGCGTGGTGGTCGCTCACAACTTTGAAGGGCCTGCCGTAGAGGTAGGGGCGAAATTTCGACGTAGCCCAGATGATGGCGAGGCACTCCTTTTCTGTTGTGGAATAATTTGCTTCTGCTTTGGATAGCGATCGGCTGGCGTAACTAATAACCCTCTCAAGTCCGTCAGCCCTCTGCACAAGAACGGCGCCAAGACCTACGCTGCTTGCGTCAGTATGTATTTCTGTCTCGGCGAATTCGTCGAAATGGGCAAGTAACGGAGGCGTCTGGAGGCGATGTTTAAGCTCCTGGAAAGCGTGTTCTTGTGGCGTTTCCCACTTGAACTCCATGTCGGCCTTGGTAAGGTTAGTGAGAGGATCGGCGATGCGGGCGAAGTTTTTCACGAACCGCCTATAATAGGCGCACAGGCCCAGAAATCGGCGCACGGCTTTCTTGTCAGTGGGCGGCGGGAAGTCGGCGATGGCGGCTGTTTTCCGTGGATCGGGACGAACTCCAGACTTGCTGATAACGTGCCCCAGAAACAAGAGCTCCTCATACGCAAATCTGCACTTTTCTGGCTTCAGTGTGAGTCCAAAAGTCTTGATGGCTTGAAGTACAGCTTCAAGCGTCGAAGATGCTCGTCGAAACTCGAGGAAAACACGACGACGTCGTCCAAGTACACAAGGCGCGTCTCCGTATCAAGAATCAACAGACGACCGACAGCCACCGTTACAACCTTCGACGACGCTTCGTGGAATACCAGCCCGGTGAACGTGTTTGGGTGTGGACATCGATACGCCGACGTGGACTAAGTGAAAAGCTTCTGCGACGGTACTTCGGACCGTACAGGGTGGTTTGACGTCTCGGCCCACTTGATTACGAGGTTGTCCCCGATGGCATCACGAACTCTCAACGACGCCGATCGCGACCTGAAGTCGTCCATGTCGCGCGCCTCAAGGCGTTTCATGCGCGTTAACAAACTGAAACAGTGTTTTTTGTATTATTGTTGTATCGTAATTTATTCATTGTACTTTCTTGCATTATTATTGTACCTTCATCTTTAGTTAAAGCATCGGGATGATGCCTTTTTTCAGAGGGGGGCAATGCCACGTTCCATTTCCCAAGTTTTTGTTATCGTCCCAAAACACCACACGATTCTCAGCGCAAACCGCGCCTGCAGTTTTCGAGAAGGTTCCGGACTGTAGTAGATCATTTCGATAAGATCACGCCCACTGTGCGAACGGTACAGATTGTTCTGGAACCTACGCCACCGCCAGCGATAACGCTAGAACATTCGACGGCAAGAGTATAAATGCCGACGCGCTTCGCCGCTTGTCAGTTGTTGATCGAAAGCCGACGCTCCGTTCGCCGCTATCAGTCCGAGACTGCTATCTGCGCGAGACTGCTGCTGTAATTGGACTTTCCGTTTACCGGGCACAGGTTCGCCCAAATAAACAGTTAAATCCCAACACGAAGTCTCCTGTCTTCGGCCACGTCACGACCCCCTCTTCGTCACTTCCGAAATGCGCCGCCGACATGCCTGGGTACCTACCGACTCCGTCGCCTACCGCTGCCGTGTTGTCTCCTCGTGCTTGCGCCCATTTAGTTTTGCCTTACGATGCAAGTTTGAAGGCTGCGAGTGAGGCAAGTTGATTTAGTAGTCCCCGAAGAGGGAGCAGAGCTTCGGGGTGTTTCTTCGCCGAACGTTATTACCCAAAATTGAGAACGCACATTGCGATTTTCTGAAAAGTACCGGCGTGTTTGGCTGGTGCGGATTAACAAAAAAAAAAAAAAAAAACTACTTGACGAAACTCGACGATATTTGCATCTTCAGGTGTCACTTTATTCCGGGTAAGTGCTATAGCCAAGCACTTACCTGCAAACAGAGATAGCTTACCAAGATACTGATGTACATACAAACTTGTCCGCGACCACTGTGTGCACAATCAGCGTGTCAGGGAGGCGGTTAAAATCGTGATGGCGATCGCGGAAATTCGGGTATTGCATTGAAACAAACTGTGAAAATGGATGCGAAACAATATTAGTTCATTTTGAAAGTATAGCCGATCGGTTCGAATTGGGGGGTCAAGATTTTGAAAAGTTGGTCAATTCCCTAACACACCCTCCATCATTTTCAGGAACTCCACTGTACGTTAGCGTACAAAAAGAAAAGTAAAATACAAGGGGAAAAGTTGTCCAAACATACGCGAAAAAAAAAATGTGATGACCGGCATTACCGTGGCATGCACCACGCGAAGTCTCTATCTGCCTCGCATAATATTTTCCTTGGCTGTTTCCACAAATTTCAATCAAATAGGCTCAACATCAGCACTGTTTAAGACACTTGGGGGGACGGGGGCTCACTGCTACTTTGGTGACGTGAGCCGCAGCAATATATTAATATTGTATCTTTTGTAAACTTGCCTAGCTCTGCACGACGTTTTCGATGGGAGCTGCTACGCTTCGTTCATTCACTCTTAAAATTGCGGCTCGAGAGACTTTGGGCTTTCGCTGGTTCTTGGGCCAAGCGATTTGTGGTGTTTGTAGTGAAAGCGAGATAATGGGCCCTCGTAGGTCGTGGCGGGCAGCCGGTGTACGCGGTGGCTGGTATACGTGTCACATCTTGATTTTCTGGTCTTGTACCGAGTGAACAAACGAGGCCTTCCTGATCGGATGAGCTCGTTAAAGTATGACAACCAAAAACCACAATGCTTCCCTTTCAACATCGTACACAGTAACAGATGACGAGCCCCCAACGAACCGCGCTGCAGCACGCGAACTGTAGTAGGTACCCAGGCATGGCGGGAGAGGGGGACAACGGCGGAAGTGACATCACATGAATATTATGTATACAAGGGTGATAAAGTTGTGCATTGTTTCTTGCACTACATTGTCGTGCAGTTGCACGCTTGTTCTGCCTTCAGTTTGTTTGGCGAGTTTTTAAAAGTGCAGAAACAAAAATGGCTTCGAGCCAAAAAGCACATAATCATGACATTCTCAGCAAATGAGAGGCAAGGAGGAAATAGTGCCTGCAGGAAGGGTAGTGGAGCCAAGAAAGAAACTGCTGGTCTGGCACTCTTTAGCACACATCTAATTCCAATTTTGGCTTCTTGAATTTGACCTTTAAAAATCTGAGGAATTCGGCTTGACATTCACAAATGAAACTAGCCAGACAAACATAAAGACTGACTTTCACTGGTCACTCATGATCAATAGATTAAATGGCCTCCTCTAAACGCAATATATTTCGTAATTGTACCGCCGGTAAAAAACAAATCGCGAACCCGAATTGCTCGCACTTGCTACGAAAGTAGTCGCCACGAAGTATGTTGACCCAGTGCGTAGCTCCGTATTTGCAAAGAGAACACTGTCACGAATGACAAAGGATCAAAGACGACGCATGGAACAGTGAATTTTCGAAAGGTCCTGATACAAAATACAGTGCGTATCACTTTTGGCGAATCCCTCACACAATACAAATTTGACGTGGTTTGTAAATTTTAACGCACTGTAACACAAATGTTCACCGCTTGGTGTTCAGTCTCCTTGCTATCTCCACAGTATATTGGCTCGTGAGCACTGATTACGTTTCTGTACATATTCCGAGAATGCACTATAATTCGCACATATTATAGCGCACTTGTTAAGGAGTAACACCCAGAACAGCAGTAGAGAACAGCGTTATTAGTCTTAATGAGCACATCTAATGAACGTAAAGTACGCAGTTTGACGGCAGCGTAATCCATGCATGACAAACAAAATGTGCGTCTGTAATAGAGTACTTACACTTGGCATCTTTCCGCCTCGCCGTCAGAAGAAATTCCTTGATCTCCTTCAGTTGTTTAGGCTGTAGGAAGAAAGCAAACAACCGATCATACATGCATGCACTGAGCAACACTTGAGCGGCACGAGAAATGCCCGAAGTCACGCCGTCATTTTCGCAACCATTGCACACTCACGGTAATCGATCGCAATGCGGTTAACTTTCCAAGCAAGTGACGCTACTCAAACTTTACAAAAACGCTAAAAGACACGCACACAAAACTTTACATCGAAAAGCAACCGCGGCGAAAGATCACGAGAGGACTTCCAACTTACCATCGTGATTTAATCGACAGGCAGCCTGAAAAGCAACAATATGTTGCATTAAGCGACAACTTCACAAATTACAGTGTACAACTTCTCACACAGAACTAAAATCAAGACAGCATGCAGCAACGATTCAACACGATTTGTAATTGAAACGTATAATTACCCGACTCGGAAAGGGCAGCGCCGTGTTGGAAAAGAGAGCAATTTCAGCGTCACATGCATTGACCGTAGTTTCGTATAATAAAAAAAACTTTTTTGCCGAAAAACCAACATTTCTAAAAAATTACAATTAATTGTTGATAACTGCTTGTTTAGTAGTTTTAAAAAGTAAACTCATAGGTTGTTTTTTTATTTTAATACGAAACAGTCAAATAAAGTTTATTTGTGAGGTCACGTGTAGAGTCACGTGTAGTCACGTGCATGGAAGCACCCTCCCATGCTCGCGTTTGTATGAAGGCGATCGGCCGATTGCGAAGCGATGCCAGGTTTGGGAAGAAAAACGGATCGTACTAATCGAGACGGCAGTGATGATGAGCGAACGCCTCTTTTCGAAGCAGACCACCAGCCATCAACATCGGGCGTGAGTTTACTACTTTGTAACCCCCCCCCCCCCCCCCCCCCCAAAAAAAAAAAAAAAAAATGCGCCTCCGTGTTCGCGCCACTCGTTTGTTGTTCCGAAGCTGTCAGTCATAAGTTTAGGAACAACGTGATATGCGGAAGCTCGAATACCCGCACTCCGCTTTTTATATATCTTTTCTGCATAACAAGGATGCATACGCATCAACGCAGGCAGGATCCCGTAGTTTTAGTTTCGCTGTAGGAAGGAGTCTATGGAATGTTAGTACTTCGACGTATAGGAGACTCGTGCTTTGAGCGCTATCTATCTCGGCTGAAGGAAGAACCTTGAACATTGCCGATAGCGCCTGCCTGTGACATTCGAGTCTGCTTCACACTGAACTCTAGCGCAACATAATGTAAAAGTTTCTGCGCTGCACAGGTACGTAGTTGCCTGATGACTAAGCTCGCGCACAGATCGCTCATGTTTACTTTTTTTTTTTTTTCGACTGCGCGTTGTTTCGTTTTTGACGGTTATCTACCCGTCGCACTGTTTTAGAAGGGAAACTTGAGCGAATGGGTGGTAAGTGGTCGTAGGCAGGCCACAGCGTTAATTGGCTTATGCTTTCGTATTTTCTTACTTAAACTACAGTAGTGAACACTGATTCATGGCTCCTACCCACACGCTAGATTAAGCAGGGAAATTTTTGAATTGAGATGAAGTATGAGGAATAAATCGGTCGCTTGAGTGTAAATAAAGTTTCAAAAATCTGTAGTTTATATATCTGCAAATATAACATTTAATACAATAGTATGAAATACAATATAAGCTGTTGGGAGAAATTCTGTAGTGTCAAATTCTGATTAACTCTTCTCGAATCATCAAGAAAATCGCATATGGCTATGCAGATGATCTTGTTGACGTAGCCTTGTGAAAATGCCTCGGAGAAAAAAAAAAAAATTTGGAAAATGAGACAAATTTTCAAGTGTCTGGATAAAATGTTGAAGTATTTTCTCTATTACTTGTAAAGCAATGGCAGGCATGTAACAATTTACCAGTGGTAGTAACAGCGTAGAGGAGATGGCACCAGACGAGACATGTAAACAACAGTTAAGTGGAGGTATTCACTGAGGTCCTTCTTCCAGGCAGCCACAACTGTGGTTTTTCAGTGATCCAGTATATGACAGTCTGATAGTTGGTGGCACTGCACGTTGCTAATAGCCCTGTTGCACGAGTCGGCAAAAACGTTTTTACATAAGTGGTCTTCTACACAGTTCAATGGCTTTTATTGAAGAGGCATTGCCTGACAGACACTCTGCACCGACGATATTTTTTTATAGTGTTTTCTTCTAAACAAAGTACCAAAAGTGGGGTGCTAGATTTTAGAACAGAATCAGTCGGGATAAAATTATGGATTTTCATATTTATTATCTAATGTTCCTCTGATATATAGTCGTTCTTCGTGCACATCTTGGGCTGTTTGGTCATCGACAATGACCATACGTCTTACGACAATGCCTTTGTTGCTACCATGTGTGCAACGTGCTAAGTGTTGCCATGTATCCTATAGGCTATTGACCTTCTCATGATAGTGTTCAAGTAAGTAAGCATTCAAGGGCTCAGCATATTTGCACAGTGCAAGAAAATGAGGAGTTAGAGCGTAACTATGGAAGGAAGAAACATGGACGGGAAAGAGCGCTCTTCCCTGTCCGTGTTTAATCCTTTCATAGTTAGGCCGTAACTACTCATTTTCTTGCGATTTGCAAATATGTTGATTCGAAATGGCCAACTAGCCTAAGCATTTGTCTTTTCAAAGGCTCCTAACCATTAAATTAATTTGTTTGATAAGCTTAGGTGAGAAAACTAACATTAGACCCCCCCCCCCCTTTTTTTTGCTGATTCATAAATGCTGGCACCCAATGGTTTCGAGTCTTCTCTTTTAGGGCTGTCAAGGAAATCCATGATCTCTCTTCCCAGAAAAAGACCGCTTCTGCAAAAGAGATTACTGTTACTGTGGTTACTGTGTCTGAGCAAAACTTCTTTTCGAAAGAAGTTTTTTCATTATGAAGACTGAAGTGCTCCTGTGACAGGAATATAAGCCGTTTTCTTAGAAAAAATGTCATAACACGTTCTGCCGAGAACTTTGGTTCAATTCCAATGATCACTTTCATGTATGCAACCACAAGTATGGGGCTGCGGCGTTAGCACCCCATGTAGATGACGTCACGTGAATACATCCCATACGGTATTGAAATTTTGTAGTAGACAGTTACAACTGGAAAGTGTAACATGATTTAACATCCCAAGAGAGATAATCATTTCTCGGTTTGTTTTTACACTTCCATATATTTTTTTCGTCTGCTGGCTTTTACAGTCGATCAACAGCCTTGGAAGCAATGGAACGAACAAGCGAATGCGTGAGCTTGGCTCGCTTGATCTGCTGTCACAGAAATACGAGGTACGTCAGTGAGCCGATTCACAAACTCGTCTTCAGATCCTGGAAAGCGAAACAGTTTGCTTATCATTCTTATCCATGACAGACTATGAAGTAGGAGAATATATTTGAATTATTTGTGTTTCTTTGTGAAATGCTTGTTTCATAAGTATAAAGGGGCACTGACACAAAACTTTGGCCTTGCTTTTTCTTGCTGCAATGTGTTGCTTGTGGCCTGTTATGGCGAATTCTACTCGTCGAGCGTGAGGAAGTTTTCTTGTTACGCAGCAAAGAATCTGCGTTCCGCTGGTAGATTTGGAGCAAGTGTGCATTTTCTACTGGCAGATTCGGTGCTTCTCACTCTGCGAAAAAGTGTTCCGCCTTGCAGAGATGGATTTTGCCGGAACTTTGAAAATGCGTTGCCGTCATTTCCGGTACAATTGGGCAGCTAGGTTGTCTTCAGCATTTTTTGAGGCAATGTCTAGTCACCCTGTGCACTTGCGTACATTCTTAAAATCAGAAAGCGATATCTCTGCTTTCAGCGACTGCGTGACCGAAGTGCGTGCTTTGCAGGGGTGACACAGTTGCCAGGAAAATGTAGAGAGCGGAAAAAGAAGTCGTTTCTGGAACCGGTTTTGCGACGTTTGCATAAACAACTGCCAGATCGACATCATGCGGGGCATTCACGTGTTCCACTCGCAGATCTGGCTTGGCACAATTCGAGGGTTCAGTCCATGATTTCGGAGGCTGCTCCGGACCAACCAGTGGAATTTGCCATTAATCATAACACGGCACATCGTTTCATGCACCACGCAACAGAATGACCTGTCTCGACTCCTGAAGGTTTGGAACTTGTCACGAGAGTCGAACAACGATTGATCAACGTCCGCCTTCATGAAATTAATGCCTCTCCACGGAAAAAAGAATTGGTCTTGTTCTTTGCCAAGCGTCAACTTGAGCACTGCATCCCTGAGTTGATGTCTGCGGTCGATGCGTTCGTGGACTCCGTTGCGGCATCAATGGCAAAAAAGCACTGGACCACTCAGGATAAGAAACTCTCCTACCTGTTGGACCAGAGTTCCACCAAAAGTATCCGAAATACCAGGTTTGTCACCAATCCTTCATCTCGTCCACCCACTGATCGGGAAACTGCTGTTTTGGCAAAGGGACACGGCTATAACATGTCAACGACGCCCCATCTACCGAAACTTGTTGCGGCTGTAGAAGAAGCCGTCCAGAGCGTGAGGGTGGGCGCCAGAGAAGGAATGAGGCTGAAATCAATTGGGATTCTTTCGAAATTACCATTACAAAAGAAAAAGTACTCGACCACAGAGGAGAACTTTGATGGGATCGGAGCATTGTCATTTTGCCTGCCGACAAGGGCAATTCAATGGTGGTGTTGGACAGCGGGGACTACGATCGGAAGGTTTCAGCTCTTTTAGAAGGGGATGCATACACGCAGCTTGTAAAGGACCCAACGAAGCAAACCCAGACACAGCTAAACAAGCTACTCGCTGAAATTTTCAAGCATTACCCGGATCTCAGCACACTTTACCTGCGACTAATCTGCTGTAACGGATCTGCACCGAGTCTTATGGACTACCGAAAATTCACAAGCCTGACGTCCCCCTCCGACCGATTGTGGACTTCACTTCCTCTCCATGCCGAGCCCTTTTAAATTTTCTACACCGAATCTTCGCTCCCCTAACCCGGAAAACACCAACTCATGTTCGTGGCTCCAGCCACTTCGTGCAGCTAGTGTCAGATGTGAGCATTGACGATGATGAAAGCCTGGTCTCATTTGACGTCGTTTCATTGTACACCAATGTGCCAGTGCCTTTAGCTATCCCCTCTGTCCGTTCTGTGCTTGAGGGGGACGCAAGCCTGAGTGAAAGGACTCCTTTAGCGGTTGACGAGCTCTGCCATCTACTGGAGTTCTGCCTGTCCAGTACATACTTCTCCTACAAAAGAACTATTTTCAGGCAGAACAGTGGAATCGCGATGGGAGCTTCTATCTCCGTCACGATGGAAAACCTGACCATGGAGTATATAGAAGAAAAAGCACTCGTCCCCTTCTCGCCGTGACCCAAGCTTTTTCTCCATTATATCGATGATTGCTTTTGCGTCGTGAAGACGTCTGAAGTTGAATACTTCGGAAAGCACCTAAATTCCGTGCACCCAGCCATACAATTCACGACTGAGTGTGAAAGCGACCGCTGCCTGCCCTTTCTCGACGTCCAGGTGGCAAGAAAGCGCAACGGCCTGCGAGTTCTCCCGTTCACAGGAAGCCAATGCACACTGGCCGCTACCTTCAATTTTATTCTTCCCACCTCGCCTGCCACAAGGCCTTGGTTGTGACCACGCTACTCCAGAGAGCTTAGAACTTATGCTCCAATCACACGGAGTGAAACAAAAAAGAGGCCCGCGTAATTGTGGACCTCAGAAAAAACAGATACCCCAAAAAATTCATTCGAGCCGCCACCCGCTGCGCAGAGCAACAGAGGATACGAAAACCCCAATCAACCTTAATTGGCAGCCCCCCGAAACGCGTACCAGTTCCATACGTTCAGGGAACCAGCGAGATGTTGATGCTTGTCTTCAAGAAGGAAGGGGTTCGCATCGCGCACCTGCCTTCGTGTACGCTAGGCCGCCTCTTCCCCCACCCTGTGCACTTGTGTATATTCCTAAAATCAAAAAGCGGTATCCCTGCTTTCAGCGACTGCGTGGTCGAAATGCGTGCCTTGCAGTAGTGACAGTTGCCAGGAAAATGTAGACAGTGGAAAAATAAATCGTTCATGGTACCGGGACGCTTGCACCAACCAGTTTTGGTTTGAGAGAGCTCGAAAAGTGACACGTGACAAAGAATTAAACGAAGGAGTACTGAACTTCGCAAACAAGGATTAGCCTGAGAATAATGTACTACGATTTCCTGGCATTTGTATGATGTTTCAAAACAATTATGTATGGTGGCAGTATTCTCCTAGATCTTCAAAACAGCTGTTAAACGTCTCATCGAAACAATTGAAAGCTGTAAAAAAAGCAATATAGTGGTGTTTTGTTTTAAGTCGGCTCTCACCAAGTCATCTGAGTACCAAATGAGTGATAGCTTTAATGCACAGGTTATGTGTCATTAAGATGTAGGCTAACTTCATGTTGCAGTGGCCACTTTTGCTGAACGTTTAAAGAAGTCCGTTATGTTAAGTTCGAGAATGGTTGCAGAAAAGAGATAAGATAGGTGTTGTAGGTACACTGTACATTCATAGCATATCTCACAGGCTAAAAAAACAATTAGGAAGTAGATGTAGTGTGAACATTGTTATGGCTGCCAGTAAGCTAGGCAAGACTTCTTCCGCTGTGCAGACAAAAAATGATGAGTAAAAACAATAAGTAGACCAATAATTTTTTCATAAAACATCCCAACAAATTGTCTGATTGCTGTACAGGTGCGACGTAGAAGGTCTCTTTCAGCTGTGGCCACCTTCTGTGTCGAACAGATGGGCCGCTGAACTAACCAGAAATTATTGGAACACAAGAGGTCGCAAACCAGACTCACCTTCGAATCTATGTTTACATTGTCAAGAGTGTAAGCGCACGCCGAAATTCTATGACTGCATACTTTTGTACTGTATTAGGAATGAAGAAACATGTTCACTTATTGAGGCTTGGCATATTGATAACAGTGGTAGTGCATGAGTGAACTGAACCAACCGTCGAGACAAGACGAAATCAAATGCTTTAAAGGGACCCTGAAACGGTTTTTTGAAGCTTTGTCAGCATTTAGGCTAGAGTATCATCAAACCATTTGCACAACAAATGTAGTGACACGCTGTGTACCAAGGCAGCTATGGACAATTATATCTTCCTCCTAACCTCTGCCTGGCCTCTTCAACTCAACCTTTGGACTTGGTATACAGGCCCAGTTTGTACAACATCGCCAAAACCGTGTCAGGGTCCCTTTAAACGTTAATTTTCACGTAGACCCCTGCATGTGCCAGATTTGCCCATCAAATGGGCATGTGCAGATAAGTTTTCGTGGCTTCTTTCTTTCCTGCCATAGTGTGCCTTTTCAGTTTTTAATTGGTGTCTTAACTTATTTCTTGTGTTCGTGTTTGAACACACTGTTTCTTTATAATGAATACTTGCCAGCTAGCCCAGCTCTCCATCATTCTAAGCTTAATTAATGTTTTTGTGAGCCGTTTGTAAGTGCCAAACTTGTGATGAGGCCTTGCGATTGCGAAGTTTATTTTCTGCAAGTTGTTTCACAATTACTAAAGTTCAGTCTAAATGGGCCCTTTTTTTAATAATGAGTGCTGAGTGCACGTGTAATGAAGCCAGCAAGCAAAGAAAGAAAAATTGGTTTAAACTTAAATAGTAAGTCTGTTGATATTGAACGTCTCATTCTGTGCATAGACCACACATTGAAAAAAGGGGTGATCTAAATTTATGTAGCTTCTCTCTCTCTACAACATGCCACATAATCACTTTGAAGTTATGACATGTGAAGCACCAGAGTTTCTAGGTGTTTTTCGTTTGGGGGCTGTAGTTAGCAGAATACCACATTTCTTTCTCTTCTTTCTTTCTTTATTTGTTTCTTTCTGTGCCAGTACAGAAAATGGAGCGAAGGCAAAAGGCTGGAAGCCTGACTAAGGGCCTTTTTTATAACACACTCCTGTACCTGAAAACAATGGTGATCTCCAATAATAACACCATTGTCATGACCTTGTGGCTGAGATGCATTTCTGCTAAGTTTGAGGGTTTTGTTCTTTTTCATGCCAGCTGCATTTCTTCGTGTGTAAAATACAGCAACATTAGTTTAGATAGATTTAGGACTTTTGTTGGTCAAATAGAATCTTGAATCATTTGCCGGCAGCATGCCTCTTAATTATATTATTGTTCTCGTTAGTAAAACTGCTCAATCTCTTCATTTTGTCTATGAGAAAATTAAACTGCCTATTTTTGTGCCCAATCTTTGAAACTTCTACTTGCTTATTTACTTACAGAGCCTTGACTATGACACATGTGAAAACAGCCTTTATGTTGAAGAGCAACGGCTGACAACATTCACGGTAAGTATAACATTTTCATGTCTCATTAAAAGTCTACTTGTGATTATTAGTACTGTAATTGCGGTTGAGTGTAGCAAACTATGGTTCCAAGAATATTTGTTCAATAGCTCACTACAAAACCAGTAGATGAGAACGCCATACAGAAGTAGTGTGGATAGGGTTTGTAATAATTGTTGGCAATTTTAGCATTGTTCCTGTTACTTAGTCGTAGTATGCAGAATAATCAGAAATAAGATGGAAGGTTTCAGGCTTAAGTGAGGAAAACTCTCGGAGCAACATGTGGATTGTGTGTGGTTGCTTATTTTCTCAAGCAACTCTGTCTTCAAGAGGCACACTCAATTAATTTTTGACCGTCAGGATGCAGAAATTTTAAGCAACCATGATCTATCCCTTTCAAGTAGTCGTTGAAGGAATACTGCACAAAAATTGAAAAAGCTGATGAAAACTTCAAAATTATAGGTGCAACCCTTCCAGTAAACAGAATTAATTTCTCATATTTCATAACAGTTGGCTGCATTTTTGATGAATTGTCAGCACGCACTGGCTGCACGCGTGCCATGATGGCACAATTGCCAAAGTGCATGCAGGGTGCTTGTGTTCCTGTCCTCCTCCGTTCTCCCTTAATCTCACTCTCCCTTTTCCACAAAAGTGCCGATGCTTTACCCCAGCGGGAGCTTTGTTTGCTACCAGTGCTGTTCATGGTGTTTCTGGGAGATGTAGTGCGAGCTGAAAAGTCGTAACAGCCAATTTGTTGGTTTGCTCGTTTCAAGCGCGCGTGACGTCACCAAACATCACCTCCTCTAGTTCTCAGCCCAGCTGCTAGGTGCGGCAGTTTGTGAAAAAATGCAATAAATTCATTGTTTTCCTGTAGTTTCTGCCTGAAATGAAGCTCGTGCCTATCGATAACGGGACACAATGTTTCAGTATGATTGGAAATTCTGGTGGCAAAAATTTTGTTCAGTGTCAGTTCAAGGCGCATCATGTGAAACGTAAGAAAATGTGCCTAATATTAAAAGTTGTCTCCCTATGCCTCATTTCTCAATGTGCACAAGCAATTAAAGGTGGCCTTTAATTGCTTGTGTCGCAAAAAAAAAAAAAAAATTCTAAGCTGCGCTTGTGTTACTGTCTTGAGATATAAATGTAATTGTTGGCTCTGTTCATTGCAGACAATACGAAACACCAACTGGAAGCGATGGTTCGTCACCTTCATCATCGGCATTCTCACAGCATTGACAGCGTGTGCCATCGACATTTGCATTGAAGTCATATCGGAGCTCAAGTTCACATTACTTAAAAATTGTATCCTTTTCATCTTGCAAACCCTTCTTATTCCCTCATTTAGAGCTTTTATCCTGTATTATGTGTTGCTGGTTCAGAAGCCACAGTGGTATAGTAAACTATACGTCAGCTTATCTTATGTTCGCTGTGCGACAAAGAACTCTCTCGATAACTTCTAACTTACCTAATTCTATATGCACTTACAGTCAAACCCGGGTATATCGAACTCGCCAAAAAAGTTTATTAGTTCGATATATCGCATAATTCGATATAGGCCCGGTATAGGTTTTGACACAAACGCACATAACAAACTAGAAGAAAAGTACTTTATTAATATGGAGGCTTACTTGCATGCCTTATTGTGGAACAAAATAGTCCCGGATTTTTTTCTGTGCCAACGACTTCGCTGCCTGCGACAGCACGCACGCGTCCACGTTGTCCAACGAGTCGGAGCAGCTGAGGCCGCAACCTTCCACATTCAAGCAATAGCGCCGGACCAACGCAAGTGCACTAATCACTTAGGAGGATGTAGGCAATGGGCCGTCGTCGATTTCCATATTGCTGTCGCTTTGGCTCATGGTCGGCACGACGTCTGCAATGTAATCCTCATCCTGTAATTGGCCCATGATGGGGACATCATCGTCCGCACTGATGAATTCGTCGAATGTCGATCCATCTGTAGCACCCGGGAACTTTGTCAGCTCGTTCCAAACTTCGGCGGAAACACCTGCGGTGTCTTCAGCGCTTTCAGAATTTGGGGTGTCATCACCAGGCATGCGGAAAGTCTGCATGCCTAAAGCAGTTCTGGATCATCTCCTTCTTGACATCTCCCACGATCTACTCAACATAGAAATAGCTCCGAGCAAGTCGATCTTAAGCTCCCTGCCGACACGAAGGTTCTGCAGCAGCCTCTCCACCAGGCGCTTCCGATAGCAGGCTTTCATTGCGCGTATAACGCTTTGATCCAGTGGTTGCAGTACAGACGTAGTGTTCGGGGGCAAAAAATGCAGCTTGATGTTGCTGAAGGTCGTACTGCAGTGGTGCGATGAACAATTGTCCACGAGCAGGCACACCTTGCAATTTTCGCTCACCAAATCTTCATTCCACGACGATAGCCATCTGCTGAAAAGCTCCCCGGTCATCCACGCTTTTGAGTTTGCTCGGTAGGTAACTGGAAGCGACAGCACATTTCGAAAACACCGCGGTGCCGTGCTTTCACCTGTAACAGCTTTGCCAACGATGTCGTGCCGTTCTTTGAACCGCTGAAGCCAGCCTGAACCGCCTTGGAAATCATTCCTGCCAAGCAGAAAAGGTCCTTGGCTTTCTGCTCAATCATAGGGCCGGACACCGGGATGTTTCGCGACCGAAAGTCTACAAACCACTTGTAAACGGCCGCTTTTACATCTTCGTACACAGCAGCGCGCTCACGTCAGGCGCCACGGGCACCTGACCTTTTGTCCCACTTAGCCCTGATGTCTGCCTTGTTCTTCACGATAGTACTCAAGGTGCTCCATGGAATTTTGTACGCGGCGGCGACGTCGGACTTCTTTTCTTCGCGCTCAACCCGATTGATGATTTCGAGTTTCGCGGCGAACAGCAAATTTTGCCTCTTTGCGCAAGTCATGATGACAGCGCGCCAATACAGTTCACAGAGCACCAACAGGCAACACCACAGACCAAGCTGAATCGGCAGCAGCAGGCACACAAGCATAAAGAAAGAAAAAATGGCTCCTACTTCTACTGCCTCCGCACCTCGGAGAAAGCATGACGGCCTCTGATTAGCTGTAAGCGCTGCGAGCGGGCCAGGATCATTTCTTGGAGGGGGGTGTTCGCCCGCGCACAACCAGGTCTAACCAACTTTTTCTAGGGTGGCCCCGGCAGTTTTCCCCGCCACCGCGAGAGAAAGCCAACTTGCTGGGGCACTTTTGAGGCACATGTAGTTTGATATATCAGTTGTCGTTACTATTTTCGTTCGATAAAACAGTAATTTTTGCTATATATTCTCAATGTAAACTTCCGTGTTTAGGAATTGTTCGATATACGGGATAATTTGATATAAACGGGTTCGATATAGTCGGGCTCGACTGTATTCCCATTTCATGTGGGCACATTGCCTAATTTGATCACCCTCACCTTAACGCCTGCCTTCCTCAGCTGCGTTTCCCGTCCCTTGGTATGCACTGCATGACTACAGCGAATAATATAGTATGTATACATTGAAACCTCCATATAACGAACCCAGATATAATGAATTATCGGTTTTAATGGTTTAAAGGTTTTAATGAAGTGATTGAAAACCTGTTTTATAGTACAGAGTTAAGATTGTATATTTGTAACGAATTTCCAGATATAATGCCGTATTTTTGTGGCAGATTTGACTTTGTTATAACTTATAACGAGGTTTGACTGTATAAGGTAAGCACTGTAGTCTTTTGTTAATTTCAACTCTAATACCTAGAAATACACTGATTGTCAGTTTTTCATGTGAATGCCATGAATATTTGGCCTCTTATTCTAAACTAGCTTTGCACCAGCTTCACCATATCCAAACTTATCGACAGTGAAAATATCTAGGCAAAGTCACTCCGCCAACGTTGCTATACTTGGGGACAGCTAAAATGTCATTGGGTAGTTGAAACAGCTTGTGTTTTGCTCCCTCCCCATACTGGTAATTGAGAGAGTTACAAAGCAAATAAGTCTATCAATCTAACTTGGAATAACAACCCTGTACAACCAAACAAGAATTCAACCAACAATAGATCAATCACTAGTCCAGTCAGTTGATTCTTTCCTTAAGAAAACTTCTAAAAGGGATCAACGACTGCATCCATAGGGATTGCATCATACTGCCTTATCTTGGCTGGGTCGGCATGAACGCAGCTGCTGTTCTGGCTGGTGCTATCTTGGTGGCCTATGTTGCGGTAAGTTGGCATGTTTACGTAGAGACCATGTTCATTATGTTTTATTTCCTGTTCAGTCAGCAAGTGGTTGTGGCAGCTGTAGAATACAGGTGTCCTTGCATGCAGAGTGAAGCAAGCGAACGGTTTAATGACTCAAAAAGATAAAAAGATGTCCATGCTAGGCGAATCCGATGCATGAGCTACCCTCTCGTCCCCACACTTCATTTTCTTCTTTCTTTAAATACACATTAAGCAATATCTAGCACACAGTCTCGGTGGCCACTTTTCGTGTCGTGTAGGTACCCCTGCTGCCATCAGGTTGCAGCTGCGTGCCAGTGTCTGAATCTGTTTGTACTAGTGGCGCAAGGCTGGAACAATAAGTGAAGCTATACTCAGCGATGACTTGTTTTGTAGGCTTGTGCAAATATTCGAGCACTTGAAATATTTTAATGAACCTAAACATATCTGTATTCACTTCTGTTCGAATTCAAATTATTGGAAATTTTGAAGTATTCGAAATGAACATGTGTGTGGTAGTCCGCATGTAACTTCCCTGTAAAGGTGGTTTCACTGCAGTGTGGGGATTTTATGCCGTGATTACACCTTTCAGAAGAAATCGTCTCTATCACGAAGCCCGAGTTCAAGGTTACATCAACAAATTACCCTCACATTTGTGGGATTCACATCGGTAAAAGGAGGAATTCCAACATGAAAACAACAATTGTTTGTTTGCTTAGTAGCAGCAGCAAGCGAGCATACCAACGCTGTGCTTATTTGGATAGCGAAGGATGAATCATGCTATCTTGGCAACCTGTTTTAATAGCCACCACTGGTGACACACATCTGTGGTGATGCTGCAGTGTCATTGTAGTTTACCGAAACGAGATGCAGTATGTAGCCATGTTACGCCAGGCTGAAAGATACCGAGGCGGAGGCTGGGCGAGAGTATGCACATTGTGTGTTGCCATACGTCAAGTCTTCCTTTTTTTTAAGCATATAAGAGCTGTTTATGCAGGCTTATATTCTCTAAGTTGAGTGAATTTTAAAATAAGTAATATATTTTACTGGTTGTCACTTGCATTCTTCCAAAGTCAACTCCTGCTATACTCAAAGTTGCTTGCACTTTTTTTTGAGCCAGAAAGAATGACATTTGCACAACCCTTGTTTTATTTTAAAAAATGTATATGGTGTAGGTTAGTAGGGTTTTGACAAATATACTTATATTTCTGATAACATGCAATATATACTATTCAAACTTAATTGAAAATTATTTGAATCGTATTACTATTTGCTTTGATTCTAAAATTTACCATTTGCTCAAGCCTTGACACTTCAGTGAAGACTATAGGGTTGGGGATTCCAGATATGCGTGTTGCTCCAAAATTAGTACAGTAGCCTAACACTGATTTTCGTTTTGCTCCCTTGCATCGTTACCGCGTTCGCAATATAGTGTAGATAAAAATGTGTTCAATGTACACTTTGATGTCATATTACATTTTTCTTGAAGAACTAAACAGCGTGTTTACGGCCACACACGATTCACTGCTATGTTACATTAGAAATCTGAGGTGCGGGAAAAGTGGTGCTGTCTTAAATAGAAGAAAAAAAGTGCTGCCATATCCCAAAGTGAATGGTGATGAGTGGGCGAAGCCCCAGAGGTAAACCTGGTAAACCATGAATCCTCCGTACATTTCGCCTACTCGATTTTATTACAACGCTCCCTCTAGCGTACGTCGCCGCACTAAATCGAACGATTGTCTTCCACCAATGACACGCAGCAAATGTGACATCATTCCTATTTTATAACATCTCGCATCTTTCATCAACTACAAGTACTGCCGTCTAGTTTATAACATCTTGCATCTTTTCATCATCAGCTACAAGTACCGTCATCAAGTGAACACTGCAAAAACTAAACGAGAGGTAGCTACATACAGGGGACGCACAGCCCACGCCTTAAGGAGCTTTGCCCCCTAATAGGGAGGATCTAGTCTTGCAAAGCAAACCATAACTGTACTTCACTTACGACTTCCTGCAATTGTTTTGAGTCTCAAAATAAATAAAGGGGCATTTATTTCAGCAGAGCCAATCAGAAAATTATTAGTTGACCTCATTAACTATTTCTCAGTGCGGTAGCAGACATGCAATCGGTTCTGTAGCTTCCACAATGATTTCAAGAGAATTCGTCACTGAGAACAAAGTAACAAGCCGTACACTTCAAAGAAAAAAAAGAAATGGTGGACAAGACTCATGACTATAAATTTCGGACTGCACGTTAATCCTTTGTGTAGTTTCTGGCACGCTGTTGGTGTCAAAACGAAAAAAAGTTGCTTTCTGTGACAAGAATTAGGATGTTGTAGGTATCCAGCAGATCTAGCCTTGTGAAATTTGGAGGCAATTGCCTCGCCCGGTTTTCTTTTTACTAAATTTATCTAATGTTCTTTTTTTTAAAGGCAGGCATGCTCGTGCATGCGCAGTAGCTCTGTGTAAGCCTGTGCTATTCACCATGCAGTATTGTACTGTACCCCTATCCTACTTCGCTACATGCTAACATTACTGTCACTCATGTACAGTCACATGCCAGGTGTGTAGCAGTCAAAAACTTCAAGAGGAGTTGGGACACCTGCTTCCTGAAGATCCAGTGACAACGGGGAAACACAATATCAGTTACACTATATTGTGGCGAGCCTAAACATTATAGTTCCTCAAATAAACATTGCCGTTCTTTCTTAAGCTCAGGACCCCAAGACAAACTCCACTCATACTTAATGGATTGTAAAAATATTTTACTGTGCAACATTTGTGACGCTGCAGAGTTCTCTAGCGAGGTTATTTTATGATAACTTGAAAAGGTGTTCCAGAAATTGCTTGAGAATTTCTCAACCAGAAATGAGAGTTTAGGTAATAAGGGGTTAGCCGGACAATTGCCACCTTTGCGCCAACTGCTGACTATGTCCTGTTCTCAGCCCGTGGCCGCAGCGAGTGGCATCCCGGTGATCAAGTGCTACCTGAACGGTGTCAAGGTGCCCCAAGTGGTCCGCTTCAAGACTCTGGTCACCAAGGCTGTGGGTGTGGTTCTCTCTGTGGTTGGAGGCCTGGCTGTTGGGAAGGTGCGTTGGGCTTACTTGCTGCCTCTGCTTTGGGGCGCCTGTTGTTAAAAGGGCACAATGACACCCACTTTTCTGTCACAAAATGAAAAAAATCTGTAAACAGGGGCTGTGGGGGGAGAAGGGGGGTTGTCGAGCTGATGTTTCGATAAGCGGACTTGTCTTCCTCAAGGCTAGAACAGAAATGATTTCTTTAGCGCTTGTGTGTCTATGCTTTGTGCACTCGCATTCCATCCTAACAAATGAGGCGGAGGATACGCAGATGTCAGAGAGCGGGGGGGGGGGGGGGGGGGGGGGGGGAAGTGAAGAGGGAAAAGGTTTTCTCTGAATAAAAAGAAAATAAGCAAGTGGTAGTGAGGTTAGAATGTGCACGTGTCGCTGAATCCCGGTTGTCGAAAATTAATGACAATAGGTTTGCAATTCCTAAACGAAGGGCTTAACTTACACTAGTTTTCTTTGTGTATGTACCATATTGAGTGGATTCTAGAACCCTTTCAGAAACCTTTATACCTACTGGCTGGAATGTATTGAACTTGTGAATAAGGTACGACTCTGTATATTTTCTGTCTCTCGCATATGGGAAGTTTGACTGTCTGTCAAACTTCAAGTTTGCAACAAGAGACATGCTTATCCGTACAAATGCTTTTTCAGTGTAATGCGAAAAAATGGCACAGAGTAATTCCTGACCAACGAACTGCAAAATGGTCTGCAAAGGGTTTGAGCAATTTTGGATGAGAATTAATCCAAATTTTGTGTGGTTCTTGCATGATTTTGTGCCTGTGTGCTTTCAGGAAGGTCCCATGATCCATTGTGGCTCAGTGATTGCCGCTGGCATCTCGCAAGGCAAAAGCACCACGTTTAGGAAGGACCTGAATGTGAGTGCGGACCCTGTGTTTCAACAAAGTAGTGTAGTTATAAATGATACAAACAAAGATCTAGAGAATTCAGCATGCATAGTGTTTCTGTTGCCCTCTTTCTTTCGCCAGAAGACCAGTCAAAGTGCAAAAATAATTTGGTGCTTTATCTAGTGCAATACTCTTCAGCAATCCTTAATCAACTAAACCACACATTTACAATACCTGTATTTCTGATTATGTTAGAAGGTATCGTAAGCATAATTTTTGGTAAAAGTTTGTGAATTAAATGCAATACAAATTCAAACAACAAATGTAAAATGTGTGCTATTGAGTAGGCCTGTGCAATTTATTTGAATGCGTCGAACATTAGAGCGAATACTACAGTATTTGGATTCGCTTTGACTCGAACCTAAACTATTGAAAAATTTCAAAGTATTAGAAATGTTTGAATAGGTTTATATTAGTCCGCATGAAACTTCCAGGGAACACAGTTTAAGTGAAGTGAAGGGAGCATAAGCCCAGAAAACACCTATTCAGGAGAAAGCCGCACAGCCTTACTTCAAAGTTAAATGAACATGCTACTCTCGTATCGATTAGTCATTTTTTAAGTTTAAAAGCTTGCTATATCTGCTTATATGCTCGAAGTATAGTAACCTTTCAAAGGTAAGATATTTTACAGGTTATCACTAGCATTCTACTGAAAGTGAAATTCCGCTGCTATTCAAAGTTGTTTCCATTTCCTTTGAAGCAAGAAGAAAAGGCATATGTGGAGGCCTAGTTTCAATTTTTTAAAGATATTGTGCAGATTAGTTAGGTCATGAAAACTATGCCCATCTTTCTTTTTAATGTGTGATATAATGTAGTCGAATTCGATTCTAAATAATTCTGCCAACATGACTACTTGCTTTGACTTTTGCAACAACCGAAAAGTGGTGCTGCCTATGCAAAAGCTTTTCACTTTTTTATTGTAAGAAAGCTGACACAGTTAGTGTAGTTAAAGTGTACTAAAACTATAGCGTAGTGGTACCCACGAGTGATAGAGGGAAGGGCACGCCCACACATGGGCGGGAGAATGCTGGCTTGAGTGGCACAGGCCTGCCTGGCCACCTCGCACACACCCACATGCACAAACAAGCGTTCTCTCTCATCTTGATTTCACTGGTGTTTCGAGCTGGCCATGTGCATCATAGCCATTTCATTCCGTCATCAGCAAACCATAGCATGCGGCTCCTGCTCTTGCCAAATGACAAAATCCGAGGCAAAATCCTTTGGTTGTTGGCAGCGAAAATTCGTTATATCAAGGGCATCTCCCGCTGCCACTTTTTGCAGAGAGGTGGGTCTCAAATATGTGTGCGTCTATGGAGTAATGGCAGGGAGTAGAAAACTTCGTAATCACGAGGAATTTGTTGTATGGAGGTTTGTTATAAGCAAGTTTAACTGTACGACGATTGCTGGCTCATGCCAAAGCAAAGGTTAAATTAAGAATACGTACTTGAAAATGAGGGAGTTGCTTGTTTTTTACTTCTGAAGCGACGACAAGAATATGTAGCTAGTACTGTTCATTCAATGTTTTTTTTTTTTTGCTACCCCAGATTCTGCACTGCTACACTTGCTGAGCTTTTTAATAGCGAAGGATTTTTTTATTCTACAGTGTAATGGCTGTAAGAAATGAGTAGCATTTAAGTACTGTTTCAGTGATTTCATCGCCGCAAGTTGTTTGTGAGCCTAGAACATTTGACGTGTACTGCCTGGTTTCTGTGCATGAGCTCTCAAGCTCGCTTTCTTTTTTTCTCGTCAATGTTGCAGGTCTTTCGAGAATTTCGTGAGGATCACGAGAAGCGAGACTTCGTCTCTGCCGGTGCAGCTGCCGGAGTGGCTGCTGCTTTTGGAGCACCCGTTGGTGGGTGTCCCACATTTAGTCCCATCTTTTGATTGATCTATGGTATCTAGTATTTTGATCTGTAGCATTTAGCAATGTGAGATGTTCAGTGACATACACCAGTTGTTGTTATAAGTTTATTCTTGCACATGTCACTATAATTTTACTATTTGAAATATTTGAAGTTCCCGAAGAGAAATACAGTCAACACCTCATTGGCAGTGGCCCCCTTCAGATTTTCAATATGCGTCACTGCACTTTCATGCAGATAAAGCAGAGCTCACAATCTGCGGACCGGAACTCTGGACGCTTGAGTGTGGGGACAGAGGATGTTGCGTGTCCTTTTGATTCTTGGGAGTTTTGGATCCATGGCTTTGAAGAGAGGCAGTGAATGAATACGATATTTACTCGCATAATAGGCTGACTTTTTTCCCAGGAACTCCAGCTCCAAGTTCGGAGTGCGCCGATTACGCGGGGTAAAATTTCCAAAAATTTTATTCACGACTACAGCATAAACAGTTGATTATGTATATGTCGCCGATGTCATGAATATCTACACTACAGCCAAAACAATGTTCTTCATAGGCTACATTAGCGCAAGATGTGTTGAGCATGCAATCTCATGTGTCCAAAAATCGAGACATGTAATGCGGTGTATTCAAATCTCCAAAAAGTATAACATTGAAAGATCTGCATTGCCAATGGAATGAATGCGGAAGGGCAGAGGGGAACCTACGAAATGAAAGCGGAATCGCGGGAGTTTGCTGATTATGGTTCAGGCCATCTCGTTTATGTGCATTATTAGGACCCATATACTGTGTGCTGGACAGTACTGGTCGTTCAATTTCACAGGGTCACACCCCAGATCCAAGACATTGCAATCAAATTGCAAACCACCATTTGATTGTTACAAGCACCACCCAAACCCCTTTTCTTTCAAGTAAAACCAGCGAAAAGAGTTCCTATGATTCCGTACAAAACCGCAGCTTTGAACGCCCGCCACCAAAAAGCAACCAACGCTGATTAACCCTAGCCTACGGTTCGGCATGTCGTCGGGTGAAGTTTGTACAAGACCGCATGAAGGTTGAGTGTTAAAAATATCGCACTAAAGCACTGATCTAAAAGCATCGCACATGATACGATGTTTAGGTACAATGTCAGGAAATCAACGGCGACAGAAGTCCACCGAGCTTTGCGTAGTAGCAGCATAGGCGAAAGTTCGTGTCTGAAAGTAGTAGAAAAAGCTTTAAAATTTGCGGACAAGGTAGCAAACGCGAGAATGGCGACCCTCTTCTCGACGGAAAACTCAATGCGCATTTGACAAAGGTTCAATTGTGCTTTCCATGCGGAGTTCGCACATGGCCGCTTCGCGGCCGTACCCATGCCGGGGCAAAGGTTACTCCGACACCCTGGCAACCACCCTTTTCCACTCAGGGAGTTCGCAAAGCTGGCACAGTGCTGCCGCAGTCTTTTTTCTTTTCTTATTGCTCGCTCAAGTTAATGTAAGAGGGTGCCAAACTGCAACTGTGCAGATATAGTATAGAACTACTGAGCATGGCCAAGTTAGGGCGAAAATAAAAAATTATGTGCGGAAATAAAAAAATCTGATTTTTCACGACCAAACTGGGGTGGGCCTATTATGCGAGTGAATATGGTAGGTGCGATGTAGGAAGCGTTCGAGGTCACCAACTGGTGGGAACAGAAGGCTCAAAACAAACAAACATTCATTTGTCCTATGACTAAGCTGATGTCTAAGCCATGATTTCTGAGCCTTTCTGTCTCTTTGTCTTTCACAGACACGAAGTGCACTGTCCACTACTCTCCAGAATCCTCATTTTGCCGCACAAAAGCTGCTTCAAAACAGTATTATTCCTGCTACCTGTGCTGCTCAAAAAAACTCAAGCCCGCTTACATTTGTGGAGCTGTCACCAGATGGTGCTAGCAGCGTTGCTTCAGAAGCTGCCAATTATTTTGGCACAAAAGTGTTTCAGAACCTACCTAATTAACTGACATGTTTAAAGATAGGCTTGCACTGTTTATTACAACTAATGCCATCACACCTTATTTCTGTCTGTATGACATGCATTTACTGGTAGCCCTCCACACTTTTGAATGCAGCTGCATGTATGAAGAAAGAGACAAATAAACAGCACTTGTAATCAGGGCAAGATAATGTGTTGTTGACTTTTGCGCACTCTAAGCCAAGCTTGCTGAAACAAGATTGTACTGCATCTGCAGTAATTGTTGTTCTACAAATGTCCTTACTACTTTTTACACATTGCAGGTGGTGTCCTGTTCAGCTTGGAAGAAGGTGCCAGCTTTTGGAACCAGTCTTTAACATGGAGGATTGTATGTTCATTTGTTTGATCTCAACATTTTCATTTATTTTCCTGTGAATGCATAATTTTCAGAAAAATAACTTGTCATAGTGACATGAAACTTCAATCTGATTTCATTTTCTCTTTGTGTAAAACCTGTAATGGAACAAAATGTCAAGATATCTAACCCCATTAAGGGCTGCATTTAGAGCAGTGCAGAAACCAGTTCAGTGGTGGTGGGATTCGTCGAAAAATTTCTCTCCACATCGATTGGTTCTACACCTACTTCTACTGCCACAGCCAATCGCAATGCGTGGTCATATCTGTGCTATTTATCACTAAGCTCTGCAAATGGCAGCTTCTGCTCATAATTCAAAGCCACGAATATGCCCCAGAATGTCCAGAAGTGTTGTTTTCTTCCTCCATGCATCTCCTTGGGTCTATAGCACGGTGACAAGTCGGTGGTGAAAAGCTTGATAAAAAAGTTCATAAGGTCAGCTACTTTGTTGCACTGAATGGAAATTACAGTTACTAACTTAATCAAAAGGAACACTTTTTGACGTTTTGGAACCTTAACAGGTTATTCGGATACAATGCAGCTGGTGTAACAACAGTTTGTTGTTTTGCTTGTAGGAATCGTAATTTTTGATAGGTGTAACAATTTTATTTTATTTATTTAATACCTACTGTGGACACAAGGTCCATGGAAGGTGGGTATCAAAAAGTAAAATAATCTAAAAAAAAAGATAGAAAATATTCTAAAAAAGTAATAAAGTAAACGATCAAAAAGTAAAATAATCTTGCTAGTTTGAAATATACAGTCTTTAGCATACATTTTTAAGTAAGCCACATTATGCAATACAAGTGTGCAAAACAAATGATACAGTGTTCCATTCATTAATAGTGAGCGGAAAAAAAGAATGTTTGAATCGGTCAGTTCAGGCAAAATAAGGTGTTGAGCATTTGGGTGATGTTGGCAAGTAGGCCTTATCAATAGTGGACTCAATATCTGCGGGATCGAGTGTGAGATTATTACTAAGTAGCTATGACAGAAAATCAAGCCGCAGTTTTCGACCTGATTCAAGACTGGGGATATCATTTGACTGCATCAGTTGAGTTGGTGAGTCGAAAGTAAAAAAACCTATTGTAAACAAGTTGAATGGCCTGTCTTTGGATTCGTTCAAGGTTTTTTATGTTACATTGTGTGTCCCATACAGTGCAAGCATTCTCGAGCTTCGCTTGAATTAAGTAATAATACGCAAGAAGTTTAACAGAGACTGTGTAGCTGCATAAAAATGGCATGCTCACAACACCAGCAGAGGAAATTGTGTAGTACCAGTTCATGAAGCTAGGAACAACTTCACGTTGATGTTACCTAGCAACATGAGAGATGCTACAGATACATGACAAAAGAACTATCATCCTGAAGCACCTTGGTGCATGCATGGGATGTAAAAATGGCGAAGATATAGAGACAAGGACTGAGGAAGAGACAACACAGGTGCTCAATGTGTCGTCTCTTCTTCAGTTCCTCCCCAGGTGGTCGAAATTTCCGGAGTCCTCCACTACGGCGTCTCTCATAATCATATGGTGGTTTTGGGACGTTAAACCCCACAAATCAATCAATCTTCTTCAGTTCCTGTTTCTATTTTTTCGCTATTTTTACATCCTAAGCACGAACCCTCATCTAGCCCAACTTTCCGTTCTAATGATGGTGCAAGTCAATAAATCTTGCCTCTGGACTCGATTACACTGTGATCAACCATAAAACTCCGAGTAGGCTCCCACCTAGCTTTAAGCAGGTCGAAATCGGCAGCTATATGGAAGGGGGAGGAGGACGCTTTCCAGGAACAGTGCCAGAATTCAAGATGGCATGGCAAAGTTTTACCTCCTGAAAAAAACAAGAGTGCTTGAGGACTCGCTAAAATGAGCAACCATCTGGCCCTCATTAGTGTCGCAGCACAATGCAACGACAATGCATAAACATAAGAAACACAAAGGTAGTGCAATCGGATCAGGGAGGCGTGGCATGGAGAGACCTCCAATAAAGAGCACATGCAAGTGCAACAGGTCTGGGCAACAGACAAAAATCTCAGAGGTTTTACTTTCTCTAACTATGTGTGCCGTAGGTACCATGTTCATACTCCTTTCGAAGGCTATGCGTTTGCTTACTACATATGAAAGCCATCATGGGCATTGTGTGCCCAGTTCTGGGTGCGTTCATTATGTCAGGGAAAAAAAATCAGTTTGACAACTAATTTCAGGTGCAGGTGCTTAGAGATTCGGCTGCTAAGTAGATTGGACTGGATTTAAGCAGGCCATTGTTGTCTGAATGTAGTTTGGGATGGGGGAGGGGGTGTTCCCGTAAGAATGCAGAAATATAAGTTTATCAATGAAGTTGCAGGGAATGCTGGCTTGGAATTTTACGATAGATGTTCAGTGTTGTAGCGTGAGTGTACCATTATGGTTACTGCAATCGTACTGCACCTTATTTCGCTGTTGGGGAGTGACAAGGAATCACTAAAATTTGGGCGTGTTTGTACTTGAACATAGCGGTAATTAGAGTGCGTAAGCATATAAGATACGAGTGACAGAGTTTCACTGATGAGTGATGGTCTGTGTAACCCTGTCTCTTGCTTCTTGTATGCTTACATGCGCTAATTACAGCTAAGTGTTTAGAACTTGACTGCGGACCTTGTTGGAACATGCTGCTAGATCAAGCTGGGCGAGCAGGTCGCACATGTTTGTTAAGCCACACGCGGCCCAAACAACTGAACCTTTATTTCCTTTGAAATGCATGAAGAAAATTTACGTGGTTCCTCGTGTTTGCGCTTCTGGCATATGGGCATAGAAGCGCCGTTTCACGGCACTACAACCTCATGGCCTTGGGATTGAAAGCTGGCCGTGGCGGCTATAGTTCATAAGAGGCTAACATGCCAGAGGCCCATGTACTTAGACTTAGGGTCGCGTTAAACAACACCTGGTTATCAGAAATTCTGGAACCCCTCCGCAGTGGTCTAGTGACCAAGGTACTTGGCTGCTGACCCGCAGGTCGCGGGATCGAATCACGGCTGCATTTTCAATGGAGGCAAAAATGCTGTAGGCCCGTGTGCTCAAATTTGGGTGCACGTTAAAGTACCCCAGGTGGTCGAAATTTCCGGAGCCCACCACTACGGCGTTTCTCATAATCATATGGTGGTTTTGGGACGTTAAGCCCCACAAGTCTATCAGAAATTCTGGAGCCCTCTACTACTTCATGCCTCATAATTATGTTGTGGTTTTGGAATCAGAAACCTTAAAAATTATATTAGTGTTGTGACAGCCTTGTTCAAATTGTTGTTTCGCGTTTCAGTTCTTCTGCTCGACCATATCCGCCTTCTCGTTGAGCGTCATCCTGAGTGCCTTTCACGGACACGCCGGGGAGCTGTCTTTCTCGGGCCTTGTCAACTTTGGAGAGTTCGATGTGAGTGAGGCCTAGCTGCTATAGTGTCTCGATTGTTGGAAACTGCTTAAATGCTATCACATGAGCTATAAACAACAAAAATCAATCAACCAATCAAATAGAATTGCTGCCGAAATGTTTCTTGCTATTTTGTGTCATTTTGTACTTCAATGCAACGAAAGCTTTTGAATAGAGATTAATGTTTTTGTATTTCCTTGAAAAACAGTGCTGTTAGTCATGCTGAGCTTGTTTACAAGGACCAGCATTGGCAGTGCAAGCACTAGATTTGTTTTACAGGAAAAAAGAAAACAGTATTAAAAAGCAATATTATGTAGTGTAGTGCTCTACCCTTAGCCGTCTTTTTTCTTAGTAACCTACACTCCAGGTAAGAAAACATGCTCTTTCAATCCCTCCAGATTCTGTATAATGCAACTGTCCTGTCCTTTATTTTAAGTTGTCTTTTTTTTCCCGCTGTTGATCAGGCTCACCTTTGGTGTGCAAGTTGGTGCATTTGTTTTCCGAGAACAATGAGACACATCTTGAACAAAGTTTTGCCTAGTTGATTGCCTTTCACTACACAGTAGGGAATGAGTCCTTTTTCTTTTCTGTAGGATGTTCAGTGGAGCATCATAGAACTACCCATCTACATTGTCATGGGAGCAATCGGTGAGTATCTTGGCCTGACGAATGAATACGCAGTGCTGGGGATAGTTACGATGTAGCGCTTGTGATACTCTCAAACCTCGATATAGCGAACCCGGATATAACAACATATCAGCTATGACACTGTAAATGGAAAAACAGTCCTGCAATAGATATAGTGTTAATAACATACCTTTATAACAAATTTTTTGATATCATGCACTTATTTTTGTGTAATATGCAACTTTATTATAATTAGGTTTGGGTTACTGATTTGGTAAGAATAGCAGTAGTCACTTTGCAAAAGTCATACTTTTGTGTTTGTTAATTGCTGTTCCTAACTCCAGTGTATTGATTGTGGTGTAATAGAAATGAATTGAAGCACACAAAAAGTCACCCTTACTATCGGCGGAGATCCCGCCTACAGGTAGAACGATATTTCATTCACTTTGATTCATTTTAGTTTACTTCATAATTAGAACATTATACAGCAATTAACATCCCCTTTTGCTATTCCTGGGCTAATTGTATGTTCTGTTCATTTTGTGTCTAACGTGTACATTGGTTAACAAAAAATGTTTGTCTGTTTGTGTTCTTGCGTGAACGCAATGTTTGTGTACCCAAGATAGGAATTGTTCTTTTCATTTGCCATTTTGCCTTAATATCCTCATATTTGTTGTGTGTAGCCCCTATCTAGTTGGGCTGTTGAAATGTTAGTTTGTTTTCCACAGAAGTGCTGAGTTTTGTTCTTTCCTAGGTGGACTTTTGGGTGCCCTCTTCAATCTTGTGAACTTCAAGCTGACCGTCTTCAGAATAAGGTACTTATGCAAGCTTTGCCATTACTAATAAGAAAAGTGAGTAGGCGTTGTTGTATTGGTTTTAGAAACCTACGATGTTGATGGCATTGTTTTTAACCCTTTGCAACACACAGTGTGTAAATGGGGCTAACTTTTGCCATTTCTCTGCACTAATGGAAATAGTTGAAATACGATTAAGTCTGAGATAATGATGAAACATTCTTGTTATCTATATATTACTTCTGGGTGAAATATTTTGCTGCACACGATCACTTTGGCTAACGCTGTGCCATGTTTAGTGCAATGCCTGACATGGGGGGTTTCGGCAGGAGTTTTGCAATTTAAAATAAATTTTGGGAAGGCCTGCCATCAACAGATGCATCTATGGACAGTCAATTTTAATGCATGTTTTAAAGGGTAAGTAGAGTACTTGAGGTCATGCATCGTCCCTCTAAAGAATGCTCACACGATACTTGGCAAAAGCCTTCATGTTTGCCAAATTACCGATTGCACTGTAAATATAATTGAGTAAGCATGTCAAACGTGTTGTTCTATGCAGGTACTTGTATCGGCGGTGGATCAGGGTGCTCGAAGCCGTTGCCGTGGCGATAGTGACTGCCTCTGTTGGCTTCCTCATGATTGACATTTCGACCGACTGCCGGCCTCATCGGGACGACTTTTACGATAATGCTCTGCAGGTGGGCCGTAATGTCTATTATTTTCTGTACCACTCCAGATGAACGCATCATAGCAGTTAAGCTATCTTGCTGCCTGACAAGATTGCACGGGGCTTATCTGGTGAAAAATATGGCGTCTTTCACTATGGTGTTTCCCACCGCCCAAGTCTTGCTTTGGCAATGTTAAACCCAGTTGATTGTTCAGCCGTACTGCTACTCAACACTGCTGCAAGGCTTTGTGTTCCCAAATTGCGATATTGTTTGTTAAGTACTGCTTCCTTGGCTTAATTTGTTCATTGTAAGACAGAGGGCATTCCCAGGGATCTCCAGTAGCTCCTACTTATCTGCTGAGACCAACTTAAATTAGTGCTCTTTTTCATGTGTCATTTTGTTCACTGCCTTTTGCTTAATCCTTATACATCTTGCTATTTGTCACGACATACTGTATTTATTGTGCATAAGCGACACCCTCAACTACAAACCACGGAATTATTAAATTTAAAAAACAATAAGGAAGAAAATCCCAGTGTAATATTGTTGTGTAAGCCAGCTTCTTTGCACTACCGTGAAGTACTGCTGTGAAGCCAACTAAGCACAAACTTTCATGTGACTTTCACCCCTGCCTTAGCTCCGAAGTACTATCTGTGCATTTTGCATGTGTGTTGTGTACGAGAGAGTATAGTATACCTGCTCTGTGCAGTACATGCCCCTGATATTTCTTACACTTGTGCCAATAAAGGAACACGAAACAAAAATATAATTTTTCCCATACTGGTAAATTAAGCTTTCAGAGTTTCGTAGTCTCCACACTTGCCATGAAAAGACACTTAGTAAGTGTGAAAGCATGCAAACAGAAAATCGAAGTGGCAATGTCATTTTGAAATTCTTGCACCAAACGTCTTGACGTCGTAGATCCTAACGGTGTCTATACTACATAGTTTTCATTTGGTACAAATGAAGTACATTGTCCTCTGTGGGAGCCGGAGACTTAGCACACCAAGTTTCAGAAATTACACTGAGCCATTATCACCAATACAAAACAGCCTTAGAAATCTGTGGCATCACATGTGGAAATTTCACTGTGAAATTTAAGAGTTAAACTTGGACGTTAGTTTATTCTCTAATAATGAACCTATGATGGTAGAATCAACACCATCAGATTTCTCAAAATGCAATTCATCAATATAAACTAATTCGTTGTTTCACTTTGTTTCACTTTACTGTCCCCTCAAACTCCACATAATGTCATCATCACTTCTCCGGACTCCCGTGTCACACTCATGCCACCTAGACCCTGTTGCTAAAATAGTCATGCCACTGTCTTGTGGTAGCGTGGTGTCTCATTCCATTGCTGCTATCTCATGGCTATTGCAGTTCAACTGCTCTGACGGCCGGTATAGTGCGCTGGGAGAAATCTGGTTCCAGACACCGGAGGCAAGTGTTCGCAGCCTTTTTCACCGACCTGAAGGTAAGGGTTTCTTTAGCGTGCTTAGTTTTATGCGCATGTTAACTAGAATGTGCACATTAAAGTATTGTTGTCATCAATAGTAATGTGCAACAGTATTGGAAGAGAACAGTGCTTTTTAATAGGTAGCCAGGTGTTACAAGTTGTAAAGGAATAACGTACGTCTATTGAGGACAAGTAGTAACCGTTAAGCTAAAGCACAAAATTGAAGCAACTGGAAAAATAACGATGGATATGTGGGCTTGTTGGCAGGGGGCCATTTTATTAAAGGGACACTAAAGTCAAATAACAATTTACATCATAGGGATAGCTCAATGTATGAAAACATCTAAAACAACAATATTATCATCGACAGCTGTACTCTACCTACTAAAAAATTAATCTAAGTGCATGAGAACACATGTGCTGTGAGTAGGACATTTGCAAAGTGATCCCGATGATGTCAGGCTTGCCGCATAAAATTAATCAATAGTATTCGAACTAGCTGCACTAAATAAAAGAACTTTCTGTGCATGAAAAGACATAATAAAATGCTGCTTGTTCATGTAAAAAAGAACTGCCGGACGTTACTATGGGGAATGGCGTGAGCGCTTCAAAAGTTCAATTTTCGCCTGGTTAAACTGGACAGGTCGTGCCATTTAGCGGGGCCCAGTTGATCAAAGCACGCTTGCCATCTTGGAGGCCATGGAAGGAAAAAGTTCAATGGCCCATGTTGCTGCTGTGGCTCCCGCTACTTTGGTTCTGCTGCTACTAGTGTTGGCGGCCACGCAGTAAAGCCGGGCAACGTTTTGTACGGCAATACTGACGTGAAATGTTTCACTTGAAATGTGATAACGCGATGCGGACCACTAAAATGTTATTTGATTTTGAAATCAGCACTTTCCTGGCACAAGAGTAGCACTGTGAGGTTTCTAGATAGCTGTTTCAGCAATCAACATCGACTTAATGTTTGTCTTTAGTGTCCCATTAAACTTCGTCGTAGTGAGGCAAAGGACATTGACACGAGAAAGAAACATACGACGACACACAATGCTGACTTGTAACACACACACACACACTAATTACCATTTTGCAGCAGTATTTTGCTGCTCACCGTGACATTTCAAGGTTATTTCATTGCGTCAGACAACTAACCTGTGAACCATGAACCCCTTTTCGAATTAACCTAATCAATTAAACAGAGAATTCACTTTGTATACAGATATTGCAACTCTTTCTCAGGTAACCGAAATCGATGCGTTGCTGACACATGTGTCACCAAGTGTAGTATATGTTGGTCTGGCGCTAGTGAATCGAGTGGCGATTCTTCCAATGTTCCATATCAGAATCTGGTTCGGTGGATATTATTCGTCAGACGAAGATTTACTTACGAGTTCAGACTCGAATGATGATGAAGGAGCGACATCTTAAATGTATGCGCGGCGAGATGATCCGGACTGGATCGAAGGTTACTATTCTCCAATTTAATTTGGTGTTCAGGTGAAAGATATTTTTTTACCTGAAAATTACTTTGTAGAGCTCATTTTTGTATGCCTGTAGGGTATGTTTAACACAATGAAGAATTTTTTTCTATCAAATATTTTAGGATTGATTTTTGCAATTTTGCTTGATGTTATCACGAAAAACCATGTTATATGACAACAAAAATGAGTTTTTTTTTGTCGCTTCACAGTCGTGCAAAAATATTTTATTAGACAAATTTTTCCTTATATAGAATCGTTTGAAGAACTTAGTATTTCAGCAAGAAAAAAATTACACATCCTTTTTTACCGCATTTCGCAAAACAAATCCCACCATCTCCACGAAGTGAATGATGATGGGGAGCTTGCTTAGAACTGATAGGGAGAACCCATTAATCTTGCATACAAGTCCTCTTCTATTATATAGAGATGTGACATAGTATTGGAATGATTGTATGTACACTTATATGCGCAGTAGTTTATTATTTATATATCATTGCAATTATATACAAGGATAGCATTACTGATTACAAAGCTGTGGGATGCATTTTTCTTCGAAAATTACAATTTTTTGGTTGGTGAAGTATGTGGCAAGGGGATCTTAAATTAGAGGTTGCAGTTGAAAGTTCAAAAAGGCAGTGTCGATACAGGTCCTGAGTCAAAATTCTCTTGCCGCCGCTTGCATGCCGTCTCTGCTTCGCACGCTCTCACTTCAGGGTCCGCCTGTCGACGAGCCTTCTTTGAAGCACAAAGTGCGCATAATGCCTTACAGAGGTCTAGGGGGTGCCTCGCTCATCAGCAGAATGACGAATGGCATAGTGGGTTCTTCCCTACTTCATGAAAGTTACGGTGGGGCAAGCAGTGGGTACATTGCACAAAGAACTAGCTCACTCAAGAAGTGAATTAGTTTAAAAAGAAAGGCACCGTCCAATTCATGGCCTATCCCTCTAGGTGAGTTGCACCAAGTTGTTGAGGAACCAACCAACCAACCAACCATCATACACGCCAAGGGCCCTCCTAAAATTCGACCCTCAGAGGTTTAATGGGAATTCACTCTATGCAGCACCTGTGTCTTGCTAACTGCTTGCTTGTTCTCTTCAGGCACATGGACAGCACTGACTCTGCTGGCGTTCTTCATGGTGTACTTCTTACTGAGCTGCTGGACTTACGGGCTGAGTGTCTCCAGTGGAGTGTTCATCCCTACGCTCCTGGTGGGCGCAGTCTGGGGCCGCCTGCTTGGAATTGGCGTTCGCAACATGTTCCCGACAAGTGTCAGTGATTTTGTTATGCCATATCATTAGCCAGCTGCAATAGTCAATGAACACATTCCTTGAAGGTGTGTTTTCTGATAGAATCGTGTGTGTACAGCACACTTAGTGCTAAGCAGTGTATGGAGCTCTGTTTTCTTATTCATGAACCATTTTTCGTTTGCTCTCACAATAACATCTTGGGGAAAGTCTTTTCTTGGTAGCCCTTTTCTCTTGAAAATCATATGAGGAGGCAGCCTCTTTCTATCGTCTGTGCACGCAAGCATCACTGTAAACCGCGAATGCTTGTTGCCGGTTGTCAAGAGCTTCACTTGCTTGGATCCTTTAGCGATCACAGTCCGGTTCGAAGTCATATCGAACCAGATCGAAGTTTCATCAGCGTTGCCCATGTGTGCCATCATGTTGCAATGCTGACGACAAAGCGCCTGATACTCTACCAGCTTATCAAAAACTTCGGGGCAGTTCTTTGCACACTGAAATAAGCCGCCTCTGTGCAAAGCCCTTCCATTTTATAAATAGGCACATCCAAGATGGCAAGCTCGTGAATTGCGCCCTTGTGAGCCTAGAGTCAAGCGCTATCTCAATAGCTCTCGTGCGGGTGCACTCCGCTGTCACGGGTAGCAACCTTGAGTGTAGCTCGCGGACGAATTCCGGGAGTAGCGTTTTCACTTCAGAGTGCACTGCAGTCCGTCCATGAAATGAAGTTTTTTTTTCTTTGGTTGCTGCAGGATGTAATGCGCTGCTTTTGGCTCCTCCGGTATCGATGCTTTTCTCCAATGGACCGAATTACCGTTGTGCCGCCAGGTTGCCGTGCGCTTCGGCTTACTCGATAACATTTTTCTTAAAGCCAATCGTAAACTGCTGTCGACTACCACCAATTTCTGAAGGAAACAGAAAAAAGAAAACAGCAGACTGACAAAGAAAACCAAAGAAAAATGGCGTTGCTAGTACGTCGTAGGCCTTGCCTAGCCTTGCCCAACGGCGTCGCTGCTGATGCTCATGGTGGCTCTTGACTTCAACTGCCCATTGTTGCGAGTCTTCCACATTTATTTCTGCCAATGACTGGTATATAAGACAAGAGTTGACTTTTTATCGCGTTTAAAAAAAAAATCGGCCTATATTCTATAATAGTATGTAAAAACCTCATTCAGCCATTCAATTAGGGCAGCAACATCATGAATGAATATGTATGTGTGTGTGTATCTGCATATATGCACACTATGAGCAGCAGCATAGAAAGTCAACAAAAATTTGTGACAATAAACTGAAATCTGGGACAGTACGTAGCACTTTTTTTCTTTGCTCTGTGAACTTGGCACTTGTGCTCCAATCTCCCCATTGTGCTCTTTTCATTGCGACCGCAGACGTGGGTGAATCCTGGCAAGTTTGCCCTGATAGGAGCAGCAGCTACCTTGGGAGGCGTGGTCCGCATGACGCTCAGTCTGAGCGTCATCCTGATCGAGGCGACGCGCAACATCACTTTTGCCTTACCCATCATGATCGCCCTGACGGTGGCCAAATGGGTGGGCGACTTCTTCTCTGAGGTTAGTTCACTCAAAGAATCGATCAGTCAGTCAGTCAAGGGAAGCTGTTGTTTTCTCTGAGGTATTTGTTATTTGTCCTTGAGAAATATAGATGTGACATCAGAAAAAGCCAGAAAAGCTGTATGACGAGGCTCCAGCCTACGTATAGAGTACAGTAGCACATGAGTATGGTACAAAATCATACTGGAAACCATAAGTGTACTGCGCGAAAAACGGACGGAAACACGAAGTAAAGATAAAGTGGAGAGAAGTGCAGACTATCAACTGAAGCTTTATTGCAAGACCGAGGCAATATATAAAGGAAAGAATAAAAAGCAAGGGAGGGAAAAGGGGGAGGAGAAAAAGGCATGAGGGGCCAAATCAACAAAAACCTGGGCAACATCAGGAAAGCACGCACGTCATGCAAAACCTAGAAAGGTCAACTCCTTATCGTGTATGGTCACAGAGGGAACACTGACGCACAACTCAGACATCTTGCAAATATGCGCAGCCTCAATAATCTCGCACACTTTTTGGTTTTTATGCCGAAACAGCACAGAAGTGTCATTAAAGAGCGGCACGCAGCCACATTCCCTACAGTGGGCTGCTAAATGAAGGCCGGAGTGGCCTTTCAAAGAATTAAAATGTTCTCGAAGTCCAACATTTATACAGTGACCTGTCTGACCCACGTATACACGATTGCATGTCAAAGGTATGGAGTAGACAACACCGGTGATACACGATACCAACTTGCCCAACTAGCCCTTCTTCTGAGATTGGGAAGGAAAATGTTCAATATATCAATGTTGGTGCGAGATTTGAGCCCACAACCTCTCATTCATTTCGACGTACGTCATGATTACTGCACCAAAAAACTGCTAATAGTGTTCCCTATGCCTTCTTTGGCCTGATTATCTGTTGCATTCAATTGGTTGACTGCACAATGCATGAATAGGAGAAAGGCACGATGATAACTTTTGGTTACCTAACTTGATCTGCTTTAATTTTGATTTTGATTTGCTCTTTTTCTAGGGTCTTTATGACATCCATCTTCAGTTGGCTGGCGTTCCGTTTTTGGGGTGGGAGGCTCCTTCACGCTCGAGCAACATCTCGGCCAGGCAAGCTGCTTATTTTGCTCTCACTTATTTTGCTTATTTTGCTCTCAACTACAGTCTCAACCTGTTGAACCTGTGTACAGTATTATCTCACTAAATGAATACATATTGTTACGTAAAATGAGATGGGACGTGACTATTTCGCAGTGTATTTACACCGATAAAATCGGAGCGCAGCACACAGAGCGAGCAAACCAGTCCTCTTCGTCGTCTTCTGATCACAGAATGGTTCACCCTTCATGCGATATAGCTACGTAGCAATATTAAACCTCGATATAACTAATGCAGGTATAACAAAATATCAGTTATAACAAAGTAAATGAAAAATATGTAGTCTTGCAATAGATACAGTGTTAGAAATAGACCTTTATAGGAAATATTCTGATATAACAAACTTATTTTCATGTAAGATGCAACTTTGTTATACAGCCGAGCCTCGATATATCGAACACGGATATATCGAATTATTGTCTATATAAAACGCTGGAAATCACGTGCATTTTTAATTCTTTATTTCAAACGATGTTTGACGCCTAATAGATATACAGTAAAATCTCATTAATTTGACCCACATTAATTCATAATTTCAGTTAATTCAGTCATGGGGTCTGGTCCCGTCCAAAATTTACATTGTTCTATGACTGAAAACTCATTAATTTGGACAAATTGGGCGCTTCGGTTAATTAAACGCCCAACCGCGGTCAAGTCACAACGGGGATGCAGCAGCAGATTCTGTCGGCCAAATCGATGGTGTACCTAAATAATTTTAGGATCGGATTGCGAACTTTGGGATCAAGTTGCGGCCTCTGAGATTCAAGACTTCGTCCACAGGTAGTACATCCCCCCCCCCCCCCCCCCCAAAAAAAAAAACACACACACACATGGTGGTTTGAACTACCAAAATGAATGACTGTGCATCGCTACTGTCATCAGCAACGGGCAACCCACGAATTTGCCTTTCCTTTTTTCTTGCGTGATGGTTGAGTTGGATTGCTCACCTCTACTGTGCTTTAAATTATTTATCTGTACGTGATCAGTGCCATTTGCAATCTTACTGTTTGCTGTTTTTTGAAAAGTTTGCAGTTATTTCGTTTTTATCACCGTGCATCTTTGTGTGTGGGTGTGTTTGTGTTGTCTACATCATGCGCGCGCGCATGACCATCGTGCGAGCGACGCCGGGATGGCTTCCCCTCCGTCTACTGCGGCCCCAACTGCACCATCTCACGCAGAGAAGAGGGCAAAGTACGAAGCAAAGGATTTGGCTGTGAAGATGAAAATATGGAAGGCATTGCAAGTGGGAGCATCTCGAAAAGAAGTGATAGAAAAGTTCAATGTGAAGAAAAGCACGCTGAGCACTTAGGTGAAGAACGAAGAGCAGATTATGCAAGCGTATGACGGGGACATGTTTGGCGACCAAAGCAAGAGGCTTCGAACGGCAGCACATCCCAAGCTAGAAGGAGCGCTGTTGCACTGGATTGCCGTTTCGCACGATGCGCGTTTGCCCTTGAGCGACCCCCTTATCTGCGCACAAGCAGAGAAGTTCGCGATGGCCATGAACATTGACTCCTTCAGTGTGTCGGAAGGCTGGTTCGACAGCTTCAAGAAGCAACACGAGCTGGTGGTCCGCAACAGGTGTGGTGAAAGAGGTGCAGTTGACGAAAGTGTTGTGTAGGACTGGCGGTCTGTGCTATCCATGCGCCTTTCTACCTACGAGCCGTGCAACATTTTCAACGCTGATAAGACAGCGCTGTTCTATAAGGCTCTTCCTGACAAGGCAATCCTGTTTAAGGGGGACCCGTGCGTCGGTGGAAAACGAAGTAATGAGCTTGTGACAGTTTTTCTGACTGCTAACATGACCGGCACAGAGCGGCTGCCGCTCCTGGTGATAAGGGAAGGCTGCGAAGTCAAGATGTTTTAAAAATATTAAGCAGCTGCTTGTCGACTACCGGTTCAACAGAACGGCTTAGATGACTGTCGAACTCTTTCAAGCCTGGCTGCGTCAGCTCGACCGCCGCTTTGCGGCCAAGGCTCGGAAGGTGTTGTTCATGCTAGACAACTGTAGTGCGCACACGAAAGTGTCCGGGCTCAAGAACATTGAACTGCGATTCTTGCCTCCGAACACAACGGCTTCCCTGCAGCCGATGGACCAGGGCATCATACAGTATGTGAAAAGTCGCTATCGAGGGCAGGTACTCGAGCGGATGTTGCTCTGCATGGAGTCAGGCAAACAGTACGAAGTAAGTCTGCTAAGCGCAATCCACATGGTGACAATCGTGTGGAACAGCACACCGCCTGCAGTAGTCGCAAACTGCTTTTGTCATAGCGGCTTCGTACACGACATTGCTGATTCGGTTGTGGTGGCCGATGAGGAAACCGGCAAGAGCAAGACGGCCGCTCTGTGAGCATCATGCCAGCTGATGTGCCTCTTGGCCATTACTTCGCAATTGACAGGGATGTTGCCATGGCCGACACAGTGACCGACACCGATATCTTCGCCGAAGTCTTGGACGGCGAAGGGGAATCAGCTGACGAGGATGTAAGTGATGCTGACGAGCGTCCACGCCACACAACGACGGAGGCTTTGCATGCGTTGGCCGTTTTGGAGGACATATGCATGCTTTCCTCGGACAGTGTGCGCCGACTAAGCCACCTGCAGGAACTTCGCAAAATTGTGACTTTGTCGCACATAGCATCCATCAAAAAAACCGCGATCAGACTTTTTTAAGAAATAAAAGTCTGATGATGTAGGAGACATTTTTCAAGTGTTTTGTTTGTACTCGCGATGATTCATACCCTCGGTTAATTTGGACATTCTCTCCGATCCCGCGAAGTCCGAATCAACGGGATTTTACTGTATCGAACTCGGCCACGCCAAACTGCCCGCGCTCCGTTGACAGGCGGCGAGCTTTTTCGCAGCACTCTTGAAACTAGCGGCAGCACAGTGGGCGTTTACGACCACTGCGCACATCGATGGCGCTGAGAGCGCCACTTGAACGTAGCGGCATGTACACGCCGCATTCTTGCAGCGTCAACGAGTCGACACACTGCACTTGTTCGACTAGCTCCTCCCCGTGGCCCTGTTGTGTTCATGTGTGTAGAGTTGGGCTTGTCGCAGGTCATGGTGTGTGTAACGATGGCTGCAAACACTAAGAAACGGGCGACTTTGACTTTTGCTGCTAAACGCCCCGCCGCGGTGGTCTAGTGGCTAAGGTACTCGGCTGCTGACCCGCAGGGCGCGGGTTCGAATCCCGGCTGCGGCGGCTGCATTTCCGATGGAGGCGGAAATGTTGTAGGCCCGTGTGCTCAGATTTGGGTGCACGTTAAAGAACCCCAGGTGGTCGAAATTTCCGAAGCCCTCCACTACGGCGTCTCTCATAATCATATAGTGGTTTTGGGACGTTAAACCGCACATATCAATCAATTTTGCTGCTAAACTGGAAGCAATCCAGTGCATCGAGAATGGCGAGAAGAATGTCGAGCGTCACAGAAGCGTTTGGCATACCAAGGAGCACATTGAGTACTCTGCTCAAAAAAAAAAGTCAACATAAAGGCCAAGGCCGAGAAGAGTCAGCACTCCGGCGCGCGGCGTGTACGGAAAGCTGCCTTCGAAGATGTTGAGAAGGCACTTCACAAGTGGTTTATAGACGCAAGGTCCCGAAATATTCCTATATAGGGACCGATTTTGCAACAGAAGGCACAGAACTTTACATTCATTCTTGGTGCCGAGAATTTCAGTGGGAGCAGCGGTTGGCTTCAACGATTCAATACTTGCTTCGACATTGTTTGGAAGACGGTTTGAGGAGAGAGTGATGACGCCGATGATGTAGAAATTCAGGAGTGGCTTGATCACGAGTGGCCCAAAGTTCTCTCTAAGTATGAGCCGAATCAGATTTTCAACAAAAAACAAGACGGGCCTATTCTGGCAAATGCTTCCACGACAAACGCTAGACACTCGCGGGGACAAGTGCTACGGGGGCAAGGAAGGCAAGGCTCGTGTGACGGTCCTATTGGCTGCCAATATGGATGAAAGCACGAAGCTGGGGCCACTTGTAATTGGCAGGTTTCAAACCCCAAGGTGCATGCAGAACTGCCCCAATATTCCGGTGTGTTATGCCTGGAACAAGAAGTCGCGGATGACAAGGGATATTTTCGTCAAGTGGCTAAAGGCATGGGATTCGGACCTGGCGCGTCAAGGAAAAAAGGTATGTCTTATTGTCGACAACTGCACGGCACACCACACCAACGCCCAGCTGAGCCACATCGAAGTGGTATTTCTGCCACCTAACACTACTTCGAAGCTGCAATCGTTGGATCAGGGCATTATTCGCACATTTAAGTCAATCTACAAGCGTCGGCTGATCGAAATTTCGCTTGTCAAGCTTCGGATGGGCCAAGACCTGAAGATCGATCTTTTGAGCGCCGTCCAAATGCTGAAAGCGTCGTGGGATAACGTCAAGCAGTCAACGATAGCCAACTGCTTTCAGCATGCGGGCTTTGCTGGCTGCACTGACGAGGCATCAGTGTAAGAATCAGAGGAAGCTGGGCTCGCATGCGCAGATGAAGAGAGCAAGCTCGCTGAAATGTGGAGCATGCTAGAGAGCTTTTTGGTGCCGAGCCGCAAAGCATGTGCATCGACGACTTCGTTGGAGCCGACGGATGTGGAGATCGTTGCCGATGTTACTGCTGAGTAGCCAAATGAAAACACTGCCGAGATGGATCCTGCAACGGCTGATGATGCCCCGCTCCCTACATCAGCTGAGGTCATTGCTGCTCTGGCCCTTGTGCGCCGTCACTGCAACGCGATTGAAGGCACCGGCTTATCACTCGTGGATCGCCGGGATTAGGTTGAAGACGCAGTCGTCAAACATGCCATTGCAAACAAAAAGCAGGCTACCCGTCTTCAGTATTTTAAGCCGACGCAATAAATGCTTTGTTTGAATCCTCAAGTGAGTACTTACTGCACCATCATTGGTTCATAAGTTGTTTTCTACAAGTTTGTGACG